TAGAGAATCGTTACGAGTTTCTCTCAACATGCATAAGCTGGACTGTCCCAGAAGAAGTAGAGATATATGGTTATCCTTGAATAGAAGAGTTGTAGATCTCAGATTTTAAGATGATAGATAATTTAGGTGTAATGGGAATACCCAATCAGAACTAAGGATAGTTCTTCCCACCAATAAGAATACTGTCAAAAATAAGGACATATCTAAGTAATTTATTATTATTTTTATATATCATTGAGTCACCTCTGAAGGGAGAAACTTTGGGAAAGCCACTTTTCTGCTTCTCAGTTTCCTGGAAGTAAATAGAAAATGATAATGTTTTTCTAATTTCTAGATAATCTGAATGATCACTCATATTCTATAAGGATGGGAGCAGTGTTTGCCCCAAAATGAAATATTTTAATGGTTTTCCCTTGGCATGAGTCAGAAAAAAATTAAAATGGTGATCAATCTAATGGAAAAAAGTGTAATAGGTGTCTATTATTATTATTCAGGTTGTAGTTTGCACAAAGAGAAAAGTACAGTCTTAAGGGATTCCAGGTTGGATTTAGGACTTGAGAAGCCTAGCAGTCAACTATGGGGCATTTCCTCTTTGCGTTGTGGTGAAATGCTTTGATTCTGACTTGTGTATCTCAGAGTTCTAGGACCTAAGATTGTAGGTCGCCAGCATCCTCCTGTTCCTGCTCAAGAGTTCATTTAACAGACATCTTTATAAAGATGACTTTCAAAATCATCTGATTTTTATGTACACCATACAGATGGGACCTCTAGGTGTGCCTTCGGATTATGAGCTTTTAAACGAATAGCTAAATCACCGAGGGCAAATTGCTTAAACTCTTGGAATTCCATAATACCCCAGTTGCTCTGAGATTTAAATGAGATACTGTGCCTAAAGAGCTTAGCATAATGTTCGGCACGGAGCAAGCACTGGATAAATGGTAGATATCATTAATTAGAATTAACTGGAAGACTTGCAGGGGGTGTAGAGTGCTTTCTTTTTTGCCTATGCTATACTTAGAGGATGTCCTATGTCTGGTGGTTAAAGAATAGTGCCCTCAGAGAACAGCAGCTTCTCAGAAATAGAAAAAGTGCCAGTCTAAAGTTAATTGTGCATAAAATACATCATATTCTTTTTAATTACCTACTGAATTTTCTCTGGAGTGTGTTTCCTTTAGTGATGAAGAAATAGAAAAACTGCTTATGCAGTTGGAAGCTATATGTACCTTTCATTTAGTGAAATTATTTTATATTAAGTAAGAGCTACAAAAACGCAAAAGAGATCTTACTGTCTTGGAACTCAGAGGCTGTGAATGTGTTCTTTATGAGGTCAGAAGAGAGGCTTTGTCTTAGATTTTTTTAATCCCGAGATCTGCATTTTCCTTTCTGATTTACTCCAGTGACATCAGGTTTCCCTCTCTCTTGAGTTTCTTGTTGTGCTCCCAGTCTTGGACTACGTAGCAGCATTTCTCCAGAAGCCTCCAAGCACTGGCAGGAGCCGCTACCATCCCCGTAAATGGCACGGTTGTTGGCACTGGAAAAAACATCCACAGCAAGCAAGCTGTTCTACCTTTCTATAGCCAGAGCCCCAGAGTATTCACAAACAGCACCAGGAAGGCGTAACTGTAGATTTACTCTTAGATAAATTAAAATTAATGACCCGCTTTCTTCATTTGGGCTGTAATTTTCCCCTCTTAGAATAAGAGGACCGTACATTTTATTCTATCCAAATGGAAGATCACAGCTAAAAAGCAGGCCTATCCATAAACATGAAACAGCTTAATTTTCTGTATGTTCAAGCTTTTGCTAATAAAAAAGACCTTAAAAAGGAAACACCTCAGTCCCTTTGAAGGCTGGAGCCCACCTCAGAGAAAGCCGACTAGCGGTTGATGAATGGAAGCACCGCTTCCGTTCGGGGCTCTGCGATCCAGTACATCCTCCCAAGCGCCGTTGTGGGCAAGCTTCTCAGGACAGACTGGCGAGTACCTGGTGGGGGACGCAGTGCCTGCCCTTAAGAAGTTGAGCTCAGTTCAGTAAATGCCCTGTGCCTGCACTGATGCTCACCACCTAACAGTGATTGACTTTACCACGTAAGGTGAGCTCTAAGTGCGATAGGAGAACATTTTTAAATCCAGTGCCACAGAATTCAAAGACAGGAAGATTTGATAGCTCTGCTTTCTGAAAGCACCAATCAGACACAGTGGGGAAGACATTCTCCAATAATTACCTGAACACCAGACATTGAATCAGGCATATTCCACATGTCATCTCATTTTAAAATTGTGATTTAAAGTTCCTTATTTATGTGGCGCCTGGGTGGCTCAGTCGGTTAAGCGTCTGCCTTCGGCTCAGGTCATAATCCCAGGGTCTTGGGATCAAGTCCCGCATCGCTTGTGCTCTCTCTCTTGCTCGCTCTCTCTCAAATAAATAAATAAAATTTTTTTTTAAATCTTATAAAAAATAAAATTGTGATTTAAAGTTCCTTATTTATGAGGCACCTGGGTGGCTCAGTCAGTTAGGCATCTGCCTTCAGCTCAGGTCATGATCTCGGGGTCCTGGGATAGGGCCTGTTGCAGGCTCCCCGCTCAGTGGGGAGTCTGCTTCTCCCTCTGCCTCTGCCCTTCCCCACTGTTCATGCTTTCTCTCTCTCAAATGAAAATAAAATCATAAATAAATGAAACAAAGTTCCTCATTTATTGTTCACTGTAAATGAAAAAGATTGAGAAATATGGTTTGCAAAACAAAGTGATCATGACAGACATACTGTTTTGTAACTAGGTTTTTGCTGCTTAGTACCTTTGGACATTCTATGTCATTAAGTATTTTTCACACTGCTCTTAATAATTACATGACTTAACTATTTTTTGCCTTATAACTAAGGTAAGAAGATATAAATATGAGACAAATAAAACCATGAAAGTATTAGGAGGAAGTATAATTTAAAGGGTGGGCACTTCAAAAATATATATATAAATATATATTTTAGGGCAGTGAAATTGAGAGGAAGATACAGAGATTTCCCATATGCTCCTTTTAGATTACCAACATCCCCCTCCAGAGTGGTACGTTTGTTACAGTTGGCGCACCGACACATCGTCATCACCCAAGTCCAGAGCTTACATCGGGGTTCACTCTTGGTGGTGTACATTCCATCGTATCAGACAGATGTATAGTGGCATGTGTCCATCATTGTGCTATTCATCCAGAGGCTGGGCACATCTTTAAATACATGATATTAGGGGCACCTGGGTGACTCAGTCGGTTAGGCAGCTGCCTTCCGCTGGGGTCATGATCCCAGGGTCCCACATTGGGTTCCCTGCTCAGCAGGGAGCCTGCTTCTCCTTCTGCCTCTCCCACTACCCCTGCTTGTGCTCTCTCTCTGTCGAATAAATGAAATCTTTAAAAAAAAATAAAATAAAATAAACACATGATATTAAAAAGATATAAGCCTTAACAGAAAAGATGAGTAATTTTGAACATCGCCAAATTAAAAATTCTTTATGTATTAGTTATTATAAATAAAATTTAAAGGCACTATCATGTAATTCTCACAACAGTTTTATGAAGTAGGTGCCCAGATTCCTTTTCAAGAAGAGAAAACTGAGGCGCACCTGGGTGGCTCAGTCAGTTGAGCACCGACTCTTGGTTTCAGCTCAGGTCATGATCTCAGGGTCCTGGAATGGAGCCCTATATGAGGCTCCATTCTCAGCATGGAGTCTGCTTGAGGGATTCTCTCCCTCCTTCCTTCTGCCCCTCCCCACCATACTCATGCATGCATGGGCACTTTCTCTCTCTCCCTCAAATAAATAAATACATCTTAAAAGAGAGAGAGAAAACTGAGGCACAGAGAAATAGTGTGGAGATCAGTGGGTTTCTGGGAGGTTGATTACCTTGGTGAATACAAAAGCTGATAGAATGAGGGGCATAGTGAGTAGGTGGTTCCAGTTTAATCTCTGTAGCAGGCTTTGAGGTGCATACCCGCTTTACCCCTTCAAGATGATGGATGAGCTTCATTTCAGACAACTCCATCCTTTGAAGTATTCATTTCCATACAATTTTCATTATGATGGCTATGACAAAAACCTTTTCCAGGTGTGTCTTCAAACAGAAAATTTCAGAGACATCAAGGACAGACAAATGCAAAGTACAAAAAGTGGAAATCCCTTTTTACTGTCCCTTAATTAGTAGAAAATTTCAAGGCCTCAGTTACGTTGGGACAGTATAGATCATTAACTACTTATTAAAGAGACAGGAGGAGAAAAGCCAAAACTGTGTGAGCTATTATCAGTGGGATGAAATAAAAGATTGATTATAGCATAGTTTTTCAGTGGAAGAAACAGAAGAAAAAAAATTTAGAGTGTAAATGTTTTTAGATCATATTTAGGTGAATTCAATCAAGTTAAAAATCCCACCACATCTTGGATAAGAGCAGATAGCTCATTGATTGTGTATAGTAAAATATTTCTCTGCAATTGATCTAAAATTTGATTTAAAATGGGTATATAATATTTACCTCCTCTGGAGTAACAAAATTTATGCTATGTAATAACATTGACACGTTTTCAGAATCATGTTTAATGGGCCCTCCAGAACTCTGGTGAATACCACAGCTTGGTCTGTTTTCTACCTCTTTTAGAAATCTGGAAAAGAGGTAGGAAATATATCTGCCATAAAGTTTTTGCACTTAGCACAACTATTGCCCTCTTAAAGTTTAGCAGAAGAGTCAAGGACTGTATATTCTTTATTAACTGCATTCAAAACTGAATTTAAGAAATGTTAATAGCTGTTTAGAATTAGTATTTGAATCCATACTACAAAGACTATTAAGATTTTTAGCATTATAGAGTCCTACACGGACCCACTTAAAAATGAATGGACTTCATTGTTTAATTCCAAGTATATACCCATCGATTTGCATGAATGTACAAATAAATACATGTATATTTTTATACAAAGTATACATATTGCATTTTTACAAGTGCATTTTATTTTTTCCCAAATAGATAAACAATCAGATCCTGTATGGAAGAAGTCACCAAAATGCATCTGCCATTATTAAGACCGCCCCATCAAAGGTCAAGCTGGTTTTCATCAGGTAAGATAGATACACGTCTGGTTTTCTAAAATCGAAGATCCCTTCTGAAGATATTATTGTGAAAGACTATCTTATCTTTGGTTTGTCTAACAAAATCACCGTATCCTAAAAATACCTTTTCCTTTTTTAACTGTCACTTCAAGGGAAGTATAGATTGTTTCAGTTATGAGGTTTTCTTGTTATTTACGTTTCATATGATGGACTTAGTGGTTGAGGCTACTATTTGTATTCAGTTTTTTAAATTTCTTCCCTTCCTGGACTGATCGTCACCTCAGTAGAACCTTCTAGCTTCCCTTCCTCCTGTCACCACCATGTGGTATATTTACTGACTCATTAATATCTTCATCAAGGAATAGGCAGGAAAACAGAACCCAGGAACATTTTAGGAACTTCATAGTAAGAGTGCTGGTGAGAAATCCAGAGGGGAGCAGACGTGAGCTTTGCTGTCTAGAGTCGCGTGGTATGTTTGGGGTTCCACATTTTCCCTTACCCTCCCTGCTACCTGACTGCGTCCTTTTGGCATAAGTAAGTCAGAACTGGGAATTCCCATTGGTGTAGCTATTGTTGCCTCATCAGCAGTGGAATGTTTGATTCCTTTTATTGGACTGAAGTGACTGATGAATCTGAATTATCATTAAGTGATGTTAACTGACCCTGTACATTAACTGTCACTCTGTTTCTTTTCCTTCTGAGTCTCAGGTATCAGCTGTAAAACGAGAATCATAAAGCACCTACCTCATTCATTGTGGTATGTCAAAAATTTGAAATGTTGAACACACTCTCTCACATAAAGGCTGAAAGAGTGTCGGCTGGTATTTTGTGACAGTGATGATCATTCTTCTTTCTACTGTTACTGGTTACCTGTCATTAAGACCTATCCATTCCCAGGGACCCCTGGGATTCAGGGTAGTTTTATTCCCAGATATGGGCACTGATGGAGGTGATTGACATACCCTTTCCCATGCCATCACTTCAGCTACAGGGTGTTGTTGCTGCTTAGCTCCTAAAGAAATCTTACATTAGTAACCTCTTCTCCCACTCGGAGGCACTTCCTGGATTTCCAGGTTTTTATTCTTGTTTCCAAAGGGAGAATCCTTTCTCCTCCTTCTGTGTCTTTGTGTGTTACGTCAACCTCCTCTGGCTCACTCACCTTGAAGTCCTCTGTTAGGCACCAATCTCCTTTTTGGGTTATTCTGCCCTTCCTGTCACCAGAAGTTACGAAATTAGAGTTAGATGCTGAAAACGTGAACAAACTTGAGGAAAGGTCAACCACTCAAAGCGATGAAGGTGTCCATCAACAGAAATGCACGTCGGCTTGAACACTTGGCAGAGAGTCATGTGAGGGTTCCATGGGCAGGCACCCACAGCACTCAACCAGTATCTGCGCTTCATGCTCAGCACGTGGGGGCAACTTGCTGCAGGTGCTGTCCTTGATGTTGCTGTCACCTCTTCACCCATACGGGGTTATCCCAATTTAAAGAGCAAAAAGAAAATTGAATGGGATCCAAAGGAAACCATTAACGCAATTAAGTAATTGGGAAATAGAACCCTCCTCTTTCAAGAAAGAAAGGTTACATGATTTGAAATTATTTAGAATACAGAAGAGAAAGCTGGGGAGAATTTTAATAATAGTAATGAAGCCCCATTAATTTAGTGTCTGATGATTTCAATTTTGATCATTCACAGGAGATCAGAATCAAGGAAATAATTTGTTCAGTAAATTAATAGCGTAAGTGTGATTGAGGATGCCACAGAATACTTACTTACTGGAAGGGATTTTAAGCAATTTAGTAGAAGTAGCAATGTACATTGAAAATATGCAATCGAATTATGAACCTTTCTTGCATGGTCGTTCAATTGTAGTGCCTAAACACATAGTCGGCATTCAGAAAGCTTTATTGAATAGATTTCCTTTCAGCTCCTTCTAAGCAATTCCAGATTATTTATTCTCCAAAGGCAACAATCATAGTAAGTTAGTTTGATTTATTTTGTGGACTTAAAGTTACATAGAAAAAAGATACATATAGATAAAAAATAATTCATTATTTTAGAAAATTTCTCATACTTAAGTCCCTCTCCTCAGTACTTTCCCAAATAATCTAAGTTGGGAAAAGTTTCTGTAGCTTCCTCTGTAGGGAGAAAAAGAGATGTAGGTGTGATTTTTGAGTAGTCTCTTGTCATCCACTTTGAGACTGTGTAAAGGAAAACGAGTTTAAATTGAATCAAGACAGATGTACGCACTGCTAACAACCTTTTGTTTGATCCAGTAGATATGTATGTGGTAACTTGTGTGCCAACATTTTATTAATGCTTCAGTTTCCGTAAGGAAGGAACTACTCATCTGACTGAGAGCTTGAGAGCTCTTACCTAAGTGACAAATTCTTTTCTAAGCAAGCCTGAGATTCACCCTATCTCATGAAACCTGGCTCTAGAATACTCCAAGTGTGTGAGCTTGTTCAGTTTCCTGATCTGCAGTATGCGGGTGATATAGCTATCTCAGGGTGCCTGGGTGGCTCAGTCAGTTAAGCAGTCAGCTCTTGATTTCAGCTCAAGTCATGAACTTAGGGTCCTGGGATCAATCCCCACGTCGGGCTCTGAGCTCAGTGGGGGTCTGCTTGAGGATTCTCTCTCTCCCTCTGCCCCTCCCCCTGCTCACGTGCTCGCTCTCTTTCTCTCAAATGAATAAATCTTTTTTTTTAAAAAAAGTCAAGTGTTTAGGGCACCTGGGTGACTCAGTTGGTTAAGCGACTGCCTTCGGCTCAGGTCACGATCCTGGAGTCCCGGGATCGAGTCCCGCATCGGGCTCCCTGCTCAGCGGGGAGTCTGCTTCTCCCTCTGACCCTCCTCCCTCTCATGCTCTCTCTCTCTCATTCTCTCTCAAATAAATAAATAAAATCTTAAAAAAAAAAAAAAAGTCAAGTGTTTAAATATATACATATATAGCTGTCTCATAGATTGTCTAATGTCTTAATATGTATAAATTGCCTGGTGATGTGGGCTCAGCAATGTTCACGCTATGGTGATGAAGATGATGGTGTGGTGGCAGGAAAAGGGAGGCAGAGAGAGAAAGGAGGTAAAAGAAGTTAGGGAGAAGGAAAGAGGAGGAAAAAGATGAACCACTCCTTCATATATATTTTGTCTCATTCCAGAATCTTGAATATTTTTTTTAAGTGAAGCACATTCACAGTTTAAGAATTTTAATTAACATCATAATGATTAAACACTAGAAGAGATAGAACACTGGATATTTGTATATAAGTGATAAATCACTGAATTCTCCTGAAACCAATATTGCACTGTATGTTCACTAACTAGAATTTAAATAAAAATTTTTAAAAATCACTATAAGAGATAGCTACAGATACTATATAAAACCATTTCCAATAAATGTTAGAATAAGAGACATGGGCATAGCCTGCCTAAAACATGTCTTTTAGTTCTTTGTCTACCACTGCTTCTCCCCTCCTCCTTTTTTTTTTTTTTTTTTTTTAAAGCTCTACACCCCACATGGGGCTTGAGCTCAGGGCCCGGACAGCCCAAGAGCTGCATGCTCCACCAACTGAGCCAGACAGGCACCCGTCCTCCTCCTCCTTTTAAATGATGACCTGATACTCTTAACGAGGAGTAGAATACCACTTAATGAAAGAATGTATAAAGAGGAATCTAATTAATGTGAATTAATCCCCATGTCAATAAAATATATTATAATGTTACTGGGGTGAGTAACATCAAATAGTGTCAGAATTTAAAACACTTAAGGAAATCAAAAAAAGAAAATATTTTATGCTCCTCTGCTTTGTACATCACCAGTGGGTTATAGTGGGAGATTGGTGACCTATTTATGTGTAGTAACCTGTGCATTTTGTTTATTTTATTTTTTAAAGATTCCACTTATTTGACAGAGGGAGAGAGCACAAGCAGGGTGAATGGCAGGCAGAGGGAGAGAGAAAAGCAGGCTCTCCGCTGAGCAGGGAGCCCTACTCGGGGCTCAATCCCAGGACCCTGAGATCATGACCTGAGCCGAAGGCAGATACTTAGTCAACCGAGCCACCCAGGCGCCCATAATCTGTGCATTTTAGGTGCTGTCCAACATACCATTCTTTCTCCTTCAGGCTGATTATCTAGTTCATCACTCCTTTACATACACCTCTGCCTATAGGTTACCTCTTTCAGACTATTGGTATGAGAACCCTAGTTGTGCCTATTTTAGATCCAAATCCTAAAGCAGTTAGATACTGGTTTGCTATCAGGTTTCAGGAAGTTAACACTTAAATCATAGCACAGCAGATGCAATTACACTTTTCTTTTAAGATGCATAACTTATGCTGTATAATGTGACTTTAAACACTGATGTTTATAAATGGTTTCTTCATAGTTAGTGCTTCTATTTGCTGATACTTCCTTCCTTAGTTGAAATTACTGATTCTCTGTGCATTTCCATCATAGAGATATTGTTGGCTTCTATACCTCAGCGGCTCTTTTCCAGATTTATTGACAATTGAGATAAAAATGGGAACTGGCCGCAGATTTGGGATTATGATTAGCAGTGATCACGGAAAGCTGTTAAAATGTGCTGCAGGCAACATTTTAATTAACGGGGGCCTTTAGTCTATAGTAATGTACATTTGTGTGATCACGTCCTTGTCATATTCTTTTAACACTTGTATTTATTCATATACTAACTGATCTGTAATTCACAGAAGGTCTGTGAGTCATTAGTGAAAATTAGCAAGTTGCTGCTCTGTGTACATGACTTACATGATCACTTTTTCCTCCCCCTTTGTCCCCACATGAGATTTTGGACAATCCGGTAATCACATACTTGTGTCTGTAACACATCTGGACTTCGGCATACTATTCTACAGTGGATAATCCAGGTGTATTTTACAATCTTGAGTTCTTACTATGTAGCACACATTCAATTCTGTGGATTTTCCCATTCGACCTTATCCCCGCTACATAAGCACTATAATTTTAGGTACAGGAGGAGAGCTATATTA